GGCACTCAGCGGGTGTTTCATGCATCAGTCCAAAAGAAGTTAAATAAAAAGCGCCCATCCATTAAAATAAGCGAGTGCGGAAGCGCAGGGGAGAGATCAAAACAAAACAACGGTCACTAATTAGAAGTACAAAATGAGGATTTGTTAATGTCGGAGGATTTTGATATAAGCCAAGAGGAGACTTGCTAAAGTAAGGAAACTTTGCTTCCTTTGCTCCTGTTAACAAACGTTGGTTTTCATGAAACTCACCGTCGCATGCGCAAAGCTGAACTCATACGTCATCCGCCCGGAGCTGCTTCCGTGTAGGACTGTTGGCGCGAGCTACATTAAAGTGATTACGTTTTGAATATGGATATTTTTCTTACAAAATGCATCGATTCGCTACAGAAGGCCTTTGTTCACCCCCCGGAGCCATGTGAGAGACTTTTTTATTTTTTTTTTATGTATTTTTATTTTATTTTTTATGGATGGGTGCTTTTATTCAAGTTCTTTTGGACTGATGCATGCAACACCCTCTGAGTGGCATTAAACGGCTTGAAAGATCAAGGAGAATTTATATATATATATAATATAAAATATATTATATATATATAAATTTTATTTTAATATAGCAGTGAAAAAATCTAAATGATTTCTGAAGGCTAATGTGACACTGATATTAAAATATAATTAACTTTTTTTTATATATATATTTAATGTATTGCATATTACTCTTTTTACTCAAATTTGTTTTGTCAAAAATGTAGCCTTTGTGAGAATAAGATACCTATTTCATATCTTTCTTTCTGTTTATTCATTTCATTAAATCAAATCGGCTACAACAAGTGCTACCATGGTCTATGAACTAAGTTTAAGTATAATTATTCTATGTAATGAACAGGAATGAAAAAAAGTAATTTGAGTTTAATTGGTCTGAAAATAATGTGCAAAGACATCATAAGGGACTTTATTTTCTTCATGCGAAATGTAACCTGATTATTTATTTTTCTTGTTGGTATAATTGTTCTTTTTGGGGGTAAGAATGTGACCTGGATTCAGTCAGTTAGTATTCTTTACTTGTATGATTTATTTTCTCACAAAATTTGTGTTAATCTGTTTCTCTAGGCTGTGGGATATCGAGTGTGGAGCTTGTTTGCGGGTTTTGGAAGGGCACGAGGAGCTTGTTCGCTGTATTCGCTTTGATAACAAGCGGATCGTGAGTGGAGCGTATGACGGGTACGCCTGTGTCTGATTAGTTCAAAATTGAAGGAAGTTTTATTGTCTTTTTTTGCATTGCAGTGCAATGAAGAATAACAGAATGTGGAAAAACTATTTTTGCAACCGTTTGGCGACAGCCAAATAAGACTGGGAGGGGAAGTTCTCATAAAAAGTCACAAAAAAAAAAAAAAGTATGTAACATTGGAAATTGAGATGCACATTTTAAAATGAATCATTAGCAAAATCCTTCCTTGACCTTCTCACACTGCCATTGCTGAAACGTAGTGCAGTCTGGGGGGAGTGTTAAGAAGCTTGCATAAGCGCGTCGTTTTTCGTGTGTGTACGCATGATTTGCCCTTTTGAGATAAAGGCTTTCCGACAGGCCCAGATTTCATTAACCTGCTGTCGCGCCTGCCAAGACCTCCAAAAATCACAGGGCCGCTGTTCAAATATTCAAGTTTACCTCCTGCTCCGGATATGTGGAAATTGGCAGTACTGTCATTTTCGTTTTATTTGATTTCAGCTTTCCTTGTGAACGCCACCATGGCAACAGCCACAATACGAGCCCAGTTCAGTGCTGTAGCAATTCAAAAAATGTTTGAATGCAGAGCAATATTTTAGTCTGAAATCTCGAGAATCACAGAGTTCCGTTCTGTGCGAAATTTAGAATGGAATTCCATTGAAATAAGGCATTAGAATGAATGATGGCAGGCTACTGTCAGATTGTGAGACATAAGTAATGTAAGCGAGATGGGGACATTATAAAGAGGGAGGATCGAAGTCAGTCTGCAGACGGGGGAGAGAGAAAGAGAGACGACTACTGCCCAATATGGCTGATCCGGAATGTAGTAGATGACTAGAATACAGAAAACCCCCCTAAAAGAGTTCTTGTGTTTAAATCTTGGTTTTGTTCTACAGCTTAGCTTTATTATTGTATGGAACTCCTATAATAGTTAAACTAGTTCTAGTCTGTTTTACATTCTGGTTGTACATGGTTTGCAGCCTTTTTGGGCTGTAGTTTTATACCCTCTGGGTCCACCAGGTGGCAATAAAACCGTGAGAGTTTGGACCCCAAAATACCCCAATGTTCAGGGTAAAGGTGTCAAAAGATGAAACCCATTGATCAATGCATCCACAAAATAAATATTTTAATAACACGAATAGTATCAAAATATTTCATCTCAAGATTTCACCAGCCCCAAGTGGTTTTGGGACAGAGTAGTTTGCAACAGTAACCGCTACATTTAACATTACAACACTTGCAGGGCTGGAGGCTCCGGGGTCAGTTCAAATAACTCTGATAAATTTAACTCTCTAGAGTGAATATCAACTCCTGTTGTGGCCAGTAATGGATATTTTGTCCATGAACATCAGTGCAGATTAGTGTTTGCTTACTTTCTTTTATATGCCCTTTTTCATGCTTTCTTTTGTGAATTATGGGGATTTTACCATCTTATTAGTGGTCAGAATATTTAATTTGACATTCTGTGCTGCCAAATTATATTTACACTACCGTTCAAATGTTTAGGGTAATTAAGGTTTTATTCAAATTACTGGAGTGGTGGAGGAGCAGTGGAGGTCTGCTGGACTCTTTTGCTCCTCTTGCTGACCGTGGTAAAGCTGCAGGGCTGCAGGTCGGGCTGCTCTCCTGGAGGGAAGCGTTTCATGAAATGCACGTCTCGCTGGTTGGGTAACGTGTTCGGACCTCTGCGTGGTCGGCCCCTTTTGGTGAAGCCAATGTACCAGCCCACATAGCGCGCTGACATCCAAGCGGTGTAGTTATTCTCAAGCATTATCTCAATGAAAATGCAGCCTCCGTTTACGCTGCTGTCTTTCTGTAATGGAAAAATTTACATATTTTCATTAAAAAGAGGCATGTTTATTATACACTCACCGGGCTCTTTATTAGGTACACCTACTCATTAATGCATCTAATCAGCCAATCACATGGCAGCAACTCAGACATGGTCAAGACAATGTGCATGAAGTTCAAACCGACCATCAGAACAAGGAAGAAAGGTGATTTAAGTGACTTTAAATGTGAGGTGGTTGTTGGTACCAGACAGCTGGTCTAAGCATTTGTAGATCAGTAGCTGATCTACTGGGATTTTCACACACAGAGAATGGTCTAAAAATGAGAAAATATCCAATGAGTGGCAGCTCTGTGGGTGAAAATATCTTAAGGCCAGGAGGATGGCCAGACTGGTTCAAGATGATAGAAAGTCAACAGTATCTCAAATAAACACTCATTACAACCAAGCTATGCAGAAAAGCATCTCTGAAAACACAACACATTGATCCTTGAAGCAGATGGGCTACAGCAGTGGAAGACCACACTGGGTGCCACTTCTGTCAGCTAAAAACAGGATACAAGTTGCACGGGCTCACCAAAATTGGACAACAGAAGATTGGAAAAAGGTTGCCTGGTCTAATGAGTCTTTCTGCTGCATTATTCAAATGGTAGGGTCAGAATTTGGCGTGAACGACATGAAAGCATGGCTCCATCCGGCTTTGTGTCAACTTCCAGGTTGGTGGTGTAATGGTGGGGGGTATTATACTATTATATACTGTTATTCTAGCCACAATTTGGGCCCCTTAGTACCAACCTGGGTGATGTTGCTGCCCATGTCCATCTATACCATCTTGTGATGGTGCGTTTGCCTGCTGGAAGTGGCCATGTCTCAAAGCTCAAATCAAATCATGTATTGGTACTACACGGTACTAGTAAGGTGTACGTAATAAAGTGTCTGGTTAGTGTAATTAACTCCACATGTATCACTATATTTGGCCCATAATCTATTCTGAGAATTTCATTTTGCAAAAAGAAGCTTACTTAAATTTTGATCTCACTGGAATTATTGTGAAACAAGCTCATTTTTGGCTGCTTTTTTCATCAATGCTCGATGTGTGTTTTATGAGGTTTTCACACTGAGACTTCAGGTTGTTTCAAATCAGTGTGTGAAAGCCTCATCAGGGCGTGAATGATTTAAAGGATGTTAACCCTACAATATCAAGTACAGTCATTTCTCAGCAACTCACCTTCCCCATAAGCTTCCCCTTACGGTTCATGCACAAGTAGTAGTTTGTCTCTTTTCCTCTTATTCTCACTTGACTCCCAAAGGTGTCGGCCTCCACCACGAGCTGGGCTTGTGAAGAAACACAAAAATACAAACATACAGGAATATAAATGAACATAATTGACACTCAAATGCATTAGATGCACTGCCATAGAAATTACAGTTTAGCAAGACAACCATGGTTGGCGGATGATTTTTAACTTCAGGTTTTAGTACAAAAGTGTGGTAGTGGTTTTAGATAATTAGGTAATTAGATCTCTTTTTTTATTTACTATATATTTATTTATAAATGTATTTAAATACATTTACATTTATTCAATTAGCATTAGTAAAAGTAGTAACGAACAATTGTTGTATAAATAAATGTGTGTATATATATATACACACACAATTTTATATTTAATTATAATTTTACACAAACACACGCATATATAACTTATACAACTAATTAAAATATATGAAATTCCTAATTAATTATTGTGTATAATAAGTGGTGTATTTCTTATAAATTATTTACGAAATAACCAATACAAATCATTCATATTTAAATAATATTTACATTTACATTTATTCATTTAGCAGACACTTTTATCCAAAGCGATTTACAAATGATGACAATAGAAGCAATCAAAACCAACAAAAGAGCAATAATATGCAAGTGCTATGACAAGTCTCGGTTAGCCTAACACAGTTTTACTTTTTTATTATTATTTATTTTTTATTTACATTTTAAATAGTGTAAATAATTGTGTGTGTGTATACAGTGTATATATATATATATATATATATATATATATATATATGTGTGTATTTTATCCTCATAATATTTTTTTTATTATCTGTGTGCAATCAGTTAGTTATTTAATCCAATGTGTACAGGTTGACCAATGCATTCAGATGATTCCTTACCATATTTATCCCCATCCTCTCCCATGGCGGTGATTTTTTTGCCAAGCACCTGAATGTGTTTTCCACTGGTCCGACTGTATAGTTGGTAAACCCGATGGTGTTTCCGGCTCAGGCCGTCCCGCACCCCTGTCTGATTCTCTACGTGTACTCCAAAGTTAACATTTTCCACTGCTAACACCTGCATAAACACAGGAGTCAGTCACAAATCCCTTTCATTGATTTATGAACTATCAATTGATATATGGTTTTATTATCGGTAACACATGCAGACTGTAAGCACCTGTAATGGGCTGTAGAACAGTAACACGACCTGGAAGCATCTGGCCAAAGAGAAATAGAAAAGACACATGTGATTGTCTGACATTTGCATTTGCTCTAGTGGCTTTTTTAAAACGTGTGCAGGGGAGACTGAGGTTGGATGGCACACTTTTCATTTTTGTTGAATATCTCTGGTGCATCAAATGTTAAGATAAGCCAATTAGGTGCAAATGAAAGCTTAAGCCCTTAGATAAAAAGGGATTCAGTACTGCGCAATATTTTTTCTCTTTTTTTAAATTCCTGATGCTATTTTAGGGTTGGTTAGCACAGTGTTAAAAGACTACAGTTATAAGAAGGATGCGCCATGAAGAAAAGATGTTTATTTGAACCCAAACTAACACCACATGCGAGTGTCTGCATGTATTTAAAGATCAATGTTCAAATCTGCTATGGATTGTTAATAATACTTTATACATATGCCAACCAGCCTCACTCACTCTCTTTTCCTAAATGATGTCAGCCAGCCATCATAATGTATCACAGGCTTCCAAATCTACCAAAATGTAATCGCTTCCCATTTTTATTAACCAGCATTCATATAAAATTATTTTTAGCTACTGGGGCTAAGTACTTTTTGTTTTAGCATAACAAATGAAAAAGTTGTCCTCGCCTCGACAGGTTTTAATCTATTACTATGGATCAGGAGGGCAAATACTCAAAAAAGACAATTTTGTGACCACCTGATTATGACCCATGAATGAACCCTGATTCAACCAACTACAGTCTCTTCTATTTTATGACACTTCTTGTTAAACAAAATATTACTACTGAGTTTGATATATGGGTGAATGATGCTCATTTTCTGTGTGGATAAAGTGCATTCAAATAAATACATGTTTAAAAAGATAATCATATACACAATAGCATAGAATACACCTGTGATGAGCATGCTGTCAATTTCTAAATTGACAGTAAAAAAAAAAAAAAAAGGCAAGGAAACAGTATGAAAATAATAAAAAGGAAAACAAAAAAAAAAACAAAAAAAAAAAAAAACTACAGTCTCTTCTATTTTATGACACTTCTTGTTAAACAAAATATTACTACTGAGTTTGATATATGGGTGAATGATGCTCATTTTCTGTGTGGATAAAGTGCATTCAAATAAATACATGTTTAAAAAGATAATCATATACACAATAGCATAGAATACACCTGTGATGAGCATGCTGTCAATTTCTAAATTGAAAGTAAAAAAAAAAAAAAAAGGCAAGGTAACAGTATGAAGATCATAAAAAGGAAAACAAAACAAAAAACAAATAAAAATATAAATTTGAATTTATTTAAGAAATCAATTCTGCCATAAGTAGTGGTATAATGTTATGATATAAAAAAATATACATATATACAGATAAGAAGTGAAGGATTTTTATTTGAAATTGTTTTTTTTTAATACTGAAAAACATCCGGCCACATAATTGAAGTCACTGTGGTGTAACTAACATGAAGGAAGCCATTTTGTTGTCATGTGTCAAGAAAACCATAAACCATGAAGACCATAAAACCATAAAGAGGGGACCCCTTTAGGCCCCCATGGTTGTGTGCCAGGAGTATTAGGTAAAAAAATATATATAATATAATATGATATAATATATACATTTTTTAAAATGTAAATATTCTTGGTAGTTTTCATTTGTTTAATTTATGTTTTAATTTAATTGATGACATCCTTATTTGTATTGACCAACACAGGACTTCTACCCTACAGTCTAAGCAGGATTCAGACCTAGAAAGTCTCATCATCAGTGTGTATGCTGCTGTTATCTGAGGAGACACTGGGTGGGAAGTGTTATTATGAGAACACAGCATCTGCTGAGGCTATCGTCTGACCCAGAGATGGGAAACACAACAAATGCTCAGGCTGGAGAAAACGGTGGACCCATCAGTAGATGGAGACTCGCTACAATGCAGCCTTCAACTCAAACTGAATAATTACACGTGAAACTTACAGCACGACAGCAGAGGACAGCATGGACTGCATCGCTCCAGCGCTTCTATCACCCCGGACAGTGAGATCTTTGAGGCGATGGTTTTAAAATCTGGAGCCAAAACCGGACACAGACCCAGGTGAGCATCTGAGCGCGTGTTGGAGGATTGTTCAGGGAGAGTCTTCTCGCAAGCAAACCTGTTCAGCTGTATGCTGGAGAACGACAGGTGAAAAACAGGTCATCCTCCTGTGTGACCCCACACTCCACATGACACACTGACAATAGATGGATATTAAAAAGCTGTGTTCCTTCCTGCAATATCCTCAAGAACGCGGCTGTCTTCACACAGAAACGCAGAATTCAGGGGTCCTCCTGCCCTTTAAGAAGTCTTTGCTAGATTTGCTCCTTTTCCAGGCTTCTTTTGTTTGGCTGTGGGGTGGAAAGGACCCCTCTCTCGCCACAGGACAGTGCGTTTGCTGAATGAGAAGGAAGCGCAGCTGAAGTGGAACGGAGATGGGCGGGGTGCACTGCGCGCAGGGGCAGGGATGATGATGGGACGATGTTTCTAGCTCACTTATCATCACCAAGGTGGGGCGATGGAAGATAACCGAAATCAAAACTTTCAGCACTTTGAAACTGCTTACATAAACCGTGTGACCTTTTATTAAACGTTAGCGTTCGGAAAGTATAGACGTCCAGCTTAAAGGTGCATTCAGTCATTAGTTCACACTCACCGTTGTGATTGTATAACCTTTTGTACCAGCATTTCTCTGCTCTTTGTCTTTCAGTGTCTGGACTTCAGGCCCTCCACCCAGATTGAATTTTTAGATGAAGTCCAGAGAACTTCATGTGAAAGGTATCAAATGTGCATTCTCTCAGAACTCTTTGAATTTCAATATTCTGTTTTAGTTTTCTTGAAGGAACATTTATGTTGATTACCAAAACAAAAGATTTTAACTCCATTGTTTTCTTAAAAAATAAAAATAAAAATCAAGGTTACAGTGTTTTAAATCCTTAATATATTGAGCATATCTACTTCCATTGTGAGATAATTACAATGGAAGTAAATGGGGCATTTTTTGGATTTAAAAGCAGAAATGTGACACTTAAGAGTGGACCTTCATGCTTATGTTTTTTTCTTCATTAAATTTGTTTGGTTCTATATGAATCACATCATATGAATTTATACAAAATTGCTACCAAACTTGCTGATAGCCAAACAGTTGACGGTAGAAACGTAGCGTTCGGGAAAGTATAGACGTCCAGCTTAAAGGTGCATTCAGTCATTATTTTGCGAAGTAAACCGTTAAACAGTGTTTTGAGAAACACTACGCGCTATAAGATTCAAGTCCTGTCAGTTTTGCAGAGAAAAAAAGCGGTTTTAATCTACATGGAGCGGGGCGCCCCCTCATGGTGGCCGCCATGTTGACATTACGTCGCCGTGTCATTCAGATGGCCGAGTTAATAATAATATTGCTTAATAATTCATGCATTTTTAGGCGTTTTACATAAAAAGACACTTAAAACAGGAATAACCAAACATATACACTCACACACACACACAAATTCTCTATAACCAGCAGCCTCTAATGGAGTGATAAAACAAACAACCCACAAATAGTTGCCTACCACCATAAAAATCTGTCGTATACAGATATGTGTAGTGTAAGGTAGAGAAAAACAAATGAACAGTAGTAACATGATAAAGATAAACAAACAAGCAACAGTGCATCCACACCAACAGGTGTCAGTATAAAGTGTAAAACCACTGGCACTATCTTGGCAAATAAGCACCAGCTAAACCTAAACAAACACTTACTTACTGCATCCCTTAAAAATTTGCTTTCTGTTAAACCTAAAAGGGGTACTGAGCAATATTAGGCTGTATTTAAACACTTCAAAATAGAAGAGAGGGTGTGAGAGAGGTATGTAGCAACTAGTCGTTCCAAAATGAACATTTCACAAGGATTTCAGAAACACCGCCCGTTTCCCCCCCTCCTCTGACCACGATAGAACCGCAGACACCCGGGTCAGCCAACAAGCGCCAGCACTGCATGCTCCTCCACCCCCCCTTTTCTCGCCCCAGCACCCCTGTGCCCCATCCAGGAGGAGCAATAGATGTGTGCGAGTGAAGGAGAGAGATGTAAATTAGCGGGTAGCTAGACAGGTCACGGCTCGCTAGGCGGTTTTGAACATCCTAAATGAGCCGTGTCACATTTCCAAAATACTATAACTCATTTCCTCTCACCTTAAAAATCCCGTAATTTCCAGAGACAACAAACATTTTTGATTAGTGTAATGGTTTGATATTTCAGCTCCACTGGAGAGCATTGAGCAATTAGCAGGTCATAATGATCTGATATTCAGCGTATACACACCCGGTTGTGCGAACAGCTATATTAGATTGAGTTAGGAAGCCTGGTTGACTGGTTCACACTCACCGTTGTGATTGTATAACCTTTTGTACCAGCATTTCTCTGCTCTTTGTCTTTCAGTGTCTGGACTTCAGGCCCTCCACCCAGATTGAATTTTTAGATGAAGTCCAGAGAACTTCATGTGAAAGGTATCAAATGTGCATTCTCTCAGAACTCTTTGAATTTCAATATTCTGTTTTAGTTTTCTTGAATGAACATTTATGTTGATTACCAAAACAAAAGATTTTAACTCCATTGTTTTCTTAAAAAATAAAAATAAAAATCAAGGTTACAGTGTTTTAAATCCTTCATATATTGAGCATATCTACTTCTATTGTGAGATAATTACAATGGAAGTAAATGGGGCATTTTTTGGATTTAAAAGCAGAAATGTGACGCTTAAGAGTGGACCTTCATGCTTATGTTTTTTTCTTCATTAAATTTGTTTTGAATTTATACAAAACTTGCTGATAGCCAAACAGTTGACGGTAGCCATTGACTTCCATAGTATGGAAGAAAATACTATGGCAGTCAATGGCTGTCAACTGTTTGGTTACCAAGATTCTTCAAAATATCTTATTTTTCTATCTTCAACTGAAGAAAGAAACTCATACAGGTTTGGAACAATTTGGGGAGGGGGGGTGAACTGTGCCTTTAAGTTTTCTCATGACATCGGGATTGGATTGGCCCCATTCACTTCCATTGTAAGTGCCTCACTGTATAGTTTTAAAATTTGTTCTACATTTAAAAGAACAGAGGTCCACACCACAACCATAATGTCACAGAGTAACGATCTCATTGGAATCAGTTTCACAACAATTTTCTTCCAGCTGATAAACGATTAAAACATTGACAGCCAATCGGAATCCATCCTGCTGTAAAGAGCTCAAGCATTTGAAGTGGCAGGTGACATAACTGCAGAATGCGCTTAGAATAAACAGAATGTTATTGTGCGTTTGTGTTGACGCTATAGCTATCTTTATAGTTATCATTCTATCATTGGTGTGAACAGGCCTTTAGAGAGTGGAAATGAATTCTTGTGGAAATCAACATTATGCCACAACTGCTGTAGACTGTGCACATTATTTCTCATATACAAAAGCGCTTATGAATATCAATATTTGAAATCAAAGGCTACTTTAAAGCTTTGTCTGAATGGTTTGAATGTGTTCACAGTCCAGAACCGAGCATAGTTCATCTATTCTCTCAATGGAGTTGCTCTCCCCCCTTTCAAGCTCTCTCTCTCTCTTTATCCTCCGCTCATTTCTCATGTCCAATTCTACCAGTTTCAGACAAAATAGGAGTTTCTCCTTCTTCTGTTTGTCTCCCTCTGTCTTGTTCTTTCTCTTCCTTTTGGCCCATCTTCCATCTTTCCAGACTGTGAAGGGAGTTCAGACTTCTAATATAAGACAGGTCCCTACCACAACAAAGGAGTCAGCTTTGAGTTTGAATAAACACTTTCTCTCCTTTTTCTGCCTGTCTGTACCCCACTCCCATTTTTCCTTCTCTGTGTTATTTCTCTCTTGGCCCGTGCTGAAGTATGAGCACTTGTTATGCGTTCTCCATGGTAGCCTTTCTTCTGGAATAGATTAGCAGGCCGAGGAGGAAGGGGAAGCGGCGGCAAACCGAAGTCGGCGGAGGGAGACGAAGGTGTAAAAGGGAGTGAAGTGTGAAAAGAAAGGCCTAGAGCGATGGAAAAAGGAAGCCAGTAGCTGAATAATGGGGGGAACGGAGGATCGTGGAATGACAGGGAAGGAAAGAAGGTCGCTGTAGGTAACAGAAACACACGCTGTTTGGATCGCACCCGTTTTTTCTTTTGAAACTCAGCTGTGATGGATGTCATCACGCTGGCGATTGCGCCCCAAAACTCCTTCCAAAATGCTTTTAGGCGCTTTCACAAGCCCTCTTTTCAGCTTCCCCATGCCCTTGCATATGCCGCATTGCCATCTCTGGACTCTTTCTTCGTTCTACAGCTTATTAACCCACACTCGGTCACTTCCCAGGTCGCATTTGCAATGTATAACATCATGAGCTGTCATCACTCTGCTCCCCTTCCCTCCCTCCTGGCTGGGTTAAAACCACAGGTCTCCTCTCTCTGTGCACTGGCGAGAGCACATGACCGCAGCCACTGAGCTGCAAGTACGTAAATTCTCTACCTCCTTTCTGTATAGTGGGAATGAATTTGTTTTAGTGTGCCGACCACAGGCCTCTTGTAACCACACAGACACATGCTCATGTAGTCGCACTTTTTATATGTATTTGTATGTGAGTTTTGGTTAAAAGAGAATCGTATTGTCTAGTTATGTACTTCCATCTTCTAATTAATCCAATCTGCCTGCAATATGTCGACGTAAACAACATTAGCGCTGCCTAAAACAACTTGCCGATTCCAGATTTCCGTAAGTAGCAAGAGGAAAAAGAATAAGCGTGTGCGTTTGAATTGCTAATAGGTAGAACTGTTCCTTTGAGCTTTGTGGAAAAAGTGTTTAACATTCAGGCAGGGCCGTCCTCACAGACTGCCTGAATTCCTCAAATCTGTCAATAGTGGGAATGAATTTGTTTTAGTGTGCCGACCACAGGCCTCTTGTAACCACACAGACACATGCTCATGTAGTCGCACTTTTTATATGTATTTGTATGTGAGTTTTGGTTAAAAGAGAATCGTATTGTCTAGTTATGTACTTCCATCTTCTAATTAATCCAATCTGCCTGCAATATGTCGACGTAAACGACATTAGCGCTGCCTAAAACAACTTGCCGATTCCAGATTTCCGTAAGTAGCAAGAGGAAAAAGAAAAAGCGTGTGCGTTTGAATTGCTAATAGGTAGAACTGTTCCTTTGAGCTTTGTGGAAAAAGTGTTTAACATTCAGGCAGGGCCGTCCTCACAGACTGCCTGAATTCCTCAAATCTGTCAGCCGTGCTAGCCAGCTGTCACTCACCTCTAATTTGCTACAACATCATTGACCTTAGGGCTTCTGGCAAATAAACACACATATACGCTGACAAAAAAGAAAAGAAAAAATATTCTGGTCTTGTGAGGAGCAGTTTTTCTTTTTGTGCTTTTTCTGATGCTGGAATGTTGGGTTGCATTATCGTCAAGTTTTGCAA